GAGTTTTAAAATATCGGCATATCGGATATCGGCCAAAATCCCAATATCGTGCATCCCTAATTTTGACACAAAATTTTGTTTTAAATATGGGGCCGATAAGTCCATCTCTTAACAGCTTTATGTTCCTGGACCCACAGCTACCAGAAATATTAAGAGGAGCTTTCTAAGGGGCCACATAATCCCAGGTTAACAAAAAGAAATTTACTTCTTAATCAAACACCATTACTAACTCATGTAAAACACTACACCTTTATGAAGCTGCAGCGCTCATCTGGTGTGACACCGAGTCTAATGGAGTCTCAATACGACTGAGGCATCTTGGAGGATAAAGTACTGTTCAGTGTGAGAAAGCCAGTTCTAAGATGCACTCTGTTGCTTCTCCAAGACATTTAATTCAAATATATCAAAAAAGTATTCAGTACTCAGACGTCTCCTTGTAAAAGTCATATCTGTGGGCACGGGTCTTTGCAAAAGACTGGTCTGTTTCAGGAAAAAGTACAGTTTGTGTCAACTTTCATTAGTTAAAGAATGTAAAATATGCAATTGAATTATCAACCTTCATTTTTTTCTATAGGGATTAAGCATCGGGGAATTTCATATAAAAGATTTGTTTTTATTCTAATGTTGGGGTACAGTAGTATAACAGAACACTGACAGCAAATGTGGTGCAAAGAGAAAGGAAAGACCTAGATGCGTTTAAGGATATTTTAGAGATTTTTTGTGTTAAGTAAATTTCTAAAGTATATCAAAGGTGCCTTTGATATAGTTATTATATCTTATTTCTACTGTAAGGAAATGCAAATAAGATGAGGTAGGGGGAGGATTAAGAACTAGGCATGAGCATTGGTGCTAAAAAAAAAAAGAAAAAATTACCTAAACAATCAAAGGTTGATGCTGATGACTGAGTCCACAGAATCTATGTCAAAGAATCGACAGCTAAGAGAAAGAAATGCAAATATCCAGAGGACAAGCAGACACCAATGTAAACAGTTGTAATGGAGGAGAAGTCTGAGTAGAGAAACGTGAACAAAGCAAAGCTGTTAAGATCTACTATGCCAACACAAAATGTTTTAATAAAATAGAGGTAATGAGGTGCTAATCTCACTTTTGCTGTTTAAAAGCAAAGCTTCTTCAATGAAACCCAATTAATGGAAAAAGAATTAGATTGCTTTCCCCCCTCATCAGCTGGATAAATAACTGATTATCTAGGGTCTGTTTACCAGGAAGGCAAATATTTTTTTATTTTTGTCCATCTGCTGCAAGACATATTGTTATTGCACATTTCACCCATATAATCGCATATAAATATATATCTTCCTGTAAATGCAGCCTTAAAAGAGGCCTCCAGAAATCCACCCCCGCTAAAGACGAAGAAAAGCCAGGAGGTGAGAAAGACTGGCAGCGCGTCCAAGTGAGCTGTATAAGCATTGCTTCCGTTTCCATCAGCACATGTAAAACAGAAACAGAAGAATCTCCGATACAATAAGAGAAAATGGAAGCGACAGCAGCGAACTGTGAGACATCAGAAACAAATTGTCTGTTTGTCGAGAGGAAACTCCCAAAGTCTTAAGATTATCCAAACTATGAAACACAGAACACCTCCATCACAAATTTGAAGAGGATTATATTAGGATATATTAGGATAGGATATATTTTTATATTTTATATATTTTT